CCAACCCCCCTACCCTCATCAAAAAACGTCCTTTTTAGGACAGTTCACAAGCAACGTCTTAAAACACAAAACACACGAATCCTTCTCATAATGAGGTGTGTTTGGAAGAACTGAACTTTTCTCCATTTCATTGATCAACTTGTGTCAGATGCAGCTACTAACAATAATCGTTCTTTCATCCGATTACTACTTGGCGAAAAGTTGTTGCTGTTGTTGTTATCGATCCAGCAACAGCTGGGCTCTCGCTCTTCAGTCCAATGCCTTGTAATGATAAGTGCTCGTTTGCTGCAGTTGCTGTAATGATCCGTAGAGTGTGTTGTCAAAGTTAGGTCTCAGAGAGAGAAGTGCAGCTCTGGTGTAATTTAGGGCTGTTCAGTGGAAAAGGGGATGATCTGCAGTCTCATATGCATAGGCACGCAAAGGACACACTGGGGGAAATTCTGGTTTTATTCTGTTCAAGTGAAAGTTGAGCTGTATATTATGTTATGTTCGTAGGCGGAAGATCGTGGTCTGTTTCTTTCTCTGTAGGTGGTTGATAGTGTCATTCTATTTTGTTGTGGTCATATGTTTGAAAACTACTCTGTCTATCTTTCCCAAGGCCCATCTGTTCGTCCAATCTTGTTTGCTGTTGCTTTTAATGATTTTCTTTGCAGTGTTTTATGAGGTTGGAATGTTGGGTTGTTCTTGCCTATATCCCCTTTTAGCGAGAGTGTCTGCTCTGTCATTTCCAGGTATGTTTGAGTGTCCGGGAATCCAGTGCATCACCAGATTGACGCCACAGGATGTTATCAGGTGACAGGATTCAAACAGTATATATTGTGTCAAGTCTTGGTTTAGATTGTGGTCATTTTCTATGGCTTGTAAGACTGATAGTGAGTCAGTAAATATCACAACACTCTGTATTTAGTTTAAATGAATGTCAAAAACTGTGCGGTGATGGCATAGTGCTGTTTCAATTGCCATCATTTCTGCATTGTATTTGGCAAATAGAAACCACCTGTTCTACTGGTCCAAAGGGGACCTCTAGTGTTACCCAAACTGGTCCAAAAAAGAGCGCAACAAAAACTGAAAGTTGTCACCAAGATAACAACATTTGCTTTACAGATAAAGAGGTTTTTTTATCGAAATTGATTTTCTTAAAAATATTGACTTGGTATGTTTGCAGAGAGTTTTTCTTTTTTTGGTAGAAATATTCAGTTATTTTTTTTTCTGTTTTGTTTTTTGTTTGTGTGTGTGTG